AAGAAGCCCTCCCCCCCCCCTCCTCCCCCCCTCCCAGACCCCCGACGTGATGATTTTTGTCATTTCGCCGACCCCCCGAGGTCCCGGCCCTTTCCCCATGACCGGCTCTGCATCCTGAGTCGTTTGTTGACGCCCCCGGGGCCCGGTGAAGGCCCCCGGAGGCCGAAGTTTGGGACAACCTCCCGTCCTGTTTTGTTCTCTGCGCGTGGCTGACCCCCTCTGCGCGTGGCTGATTGTGGCCTTTCGACATGCGGTGGAGGCCTTTCTGTTTGGACGCCTGAAATGGGTACGGAAAGAATGGTTACAATGCCCAACAGCAAGTCCTGTTCATTTCGAACAGGACCCGCTGTCCACGCCGCCCCCGCCTGTGCCCAGTCGAGGCAGAAGGCCCCCTGCCCAGCAGCGGCCGCTGTTGGTTTGGGACAACATTTGTTGTTGGGCATTCTACCCACTTTTTCCGTACCCACTTCGGGCGTCCAACCCAGACCCCCGACATACATATTTTTGTCATTACGTCGACCCCCAGAGGTCCAGACCCTTTTCCCATGACCGGTTTCTCGTCCTGAGTCGTTTTTTGACGCTCCCGAGGCCCTGCGAGGGCCCCCGGAGGCCGAAAATTGAGGAAAACCTCCCGTCCTGATTTTTGTCATTACTCGAGGGGTCCAAATTCTTTCCGTACCCCTCCCGGGCGTCCAAACTCTGGGCTTCGAGGCCTCCGCGGGCGGCCCACGGAAGGGGCCGCCGCGTGCCAACGTCGGCCCCGCCGAGCGCCCCCCTCGAGGCCCGGCGGGGGCCTCCCCAAGGGCGCCCCGCGCCGCGGGGGCGGGCGGAGCCACGCGGGCACGCGCCCCTGCGGGGGCGCGGGCGGGCACGCCCCGCGGGGAAGGAGGCACATGCCCAGACCCAGTCGTCGACGAATCCCACCAACCCCTTTGGGCGTGAGTGGTTTCGCGAGCTCTCTCTCTGTTCTCAACCCCCTCTCTTCCCCCTTCGGGGAGGGGTTTGCCCCTCCCCCTACCCCCTCCCCCTGGACCTGGACAGGGATTCCCGAGTGGCGGCGGGGAGGTCCATTTCGACTCCTCGGAGGGCCAAAAAACGACGACCCTCACGAGGATTCTGGCCCCGGGGGGGGGGGAGTTTGGTCCCTCTGCTCGTCTTTGAAGCAGAAATCATTGATTTTACGAGGGTTTTGGCCCCATTTTGGCCTTCTGAGGGGGCCGCGCTCATCTTCCCTCATAGCAAAATCATTGATTTTACGAAGGTTTTGGGCTCATTTTGTCCTTCTCAGGGGGCAGCTCTCCTTTGCGCTTCTGCGGAGGTCGCAAGAGGCCCCAAGATGGCCCCAAGAGGCCCCCAGGAGGCTCCCAAGAGGCCTCCAAGAGGCCCCCCAGAGGCCCCCAAGCGGCCCCAAGAGGCCCCCAAGAGGCCCCCAAGAGGCCCCCAAGAGGCCCCACGAGGCCCCAAGAGGCCCCCAAGAGGCCCCCAAGAGGCCCCAAGAGGCCCAAGAGGCCCCAAGAGGCCCCCAAGAGGCCCCCAAGAGGGAGGCTCCAAGAGGCCCCCAAGAGGCCCCACGAGGAGCCCGAACGACTCACATCAGGACGAGGGGCCCGAACGACTCACACCACGAAGAGCCCGAACGACTGAGAACCACAAGGAGGGGCCCGAACGACTCACACCAAGACGAGGCGCCCGAACGACTCACACCACGAGGAGCCCCCAAGAGGCCCCCAAGAGGCCCACAAGAGGCCCCACGAGGCTCCAAGAGGCCCCCAAGAGGCCCCACGAGGAGCCCGAACGACTCACATCAGGACGAGGGGCCCGAACGACTCACACCACGAAGAGCCCGAACGACTCACACCACAAGGAGGGGCCCGAACGACTCACACCAGGACGAGGCGCCCGAACGACTCACACCACGAGGAGCCCGAAGGACTCACACCACGACGCGGGCCCCGAACGACTCACACCACGAGGAGCCCGAACGAGTCACACCAGGAGGAGGGGCCCGAACGACTCACACCAGGATGAGGGGCCCGAACAACTCACACCACGAGAAGCCCGAACGACTCACACCAGGACGAAGAGCCCGAACGACTCACACCACGAAGAGCCCGAACGACTCACACCAGGAAGAAGGGCCCGAACGACTCACACCAGGACGAGAAACCCCAAACGACTCAAATCACGAGGAGCGCTTTCTCTCCCTCCTCCTCCGCCTCGTCCTTCTCCCGCTCCCCTCACAAGGAGGATGTACAAGGAGGCGGGAGGAAGGAGGAACAGGGGAGATATGCGGGGCCAAGCGGACACACGCCTGAAAAACACGACTGTCGGCATGCTTCGCGAGAGTTGCTGCTGTGAGATGGGCTGGTGGGGATACGCGAAGCGTAAAGAATTTTGTCTGTGCTGTTTCCCCTCCTGGATCCTCCAGGACCTCAACCAACAATTGGAAGAAGAGCGCGCTCTATAAACACAAACTTTAGGCGTTCCGCGCGGATGTCTTGGATCTGCGCCGAACCCTTCTCCCTGGCGCGCGGAGCGCGCCAAGGGTGGCGCCGGAGGCGCCGCTGGGGGGCCCAACGCGCATCCAAAAAATCCGCACAAAGCGCAGTCAATTTAGGTTTATGGCGTTTCTTCGAACAATATGTCAGCCCACTTCAATAATATCCTCGTTATCTATCGGAAAAGAAATTGGCTGGCCGGCGCCGGGGGACGGTCTTACAAACTCAAAAAGAAACATACAGTCGGTTCGTATCATAAGGATGTGCGATAAGAATGCCAGGGCCTTGGACGCACATTTCGAAGCTTTTCGAGCAGAGCGCGGCCAACGAAAATGGCCAACGATGGACCGAGGAGGCAAGGATGCATGGGTACCCTTGGGAAGGATGCCCATCCTTGTTATTCGAGGTGACTGTCGCTCAACGCCCTTCCCGGGAGAAGCAAGTGAGGGGATGACAGCAGGGCGCCCAATGTTGGGTCCCGCGGCTGTTTCTCGCCGGAGACTTTCGCGGTGCCTCCATCAGGGGGTTCAGGGAGGAAGGGAAGGAGGATAAGGAGCGAGTGAACGGCGGGCGAGACGAAGGAAGGGAGAAGCAGGAGTGAAGAGGAACGAGCGGAAGGAGGCCGGAGGGAAACGAGCAGAGGAGTGTCGCACGACGCCTGCGGCCGCTCCTTGTAGCCTCGTCCAGGTGTTCTGGGCCTCCTGGAGGTCGCTGGGGAGCCTCTGGGGGTCCCTTGGGCGCTCGTCGGGGGCCTCTTAGGTCGTCTTCGGGCGCTCTTGGGCGGTGTGGCTCCTTCGGAGGTGGTTCTGGGGAACATCGTTGAGCTGGCTGGGGGTCTTCTTGGGGCCCTCAAGGGCATTCTTGGGGGCGTCTTCGCCTGTCTTCGCGCCCTCTGGGATGATTTAAAGCTGGACGTAGTCTCCCCGGGTCTATATTTGAAGTATCTGGGACAGCTGTGGGCCTCCGGCTGCCCGAAAAGGCTAGCACGCTCAAAACGTAGAAGCAACAGATACGGTATGTATGTATGTGTGCATGCATGCATGTCTATATGTCTGTCTCTGTCGGTCAGTATGTATGTATGCACATGCATGCATGTATGTATGCATGTGTGTATGTATGTATATACGCATGTGTGAATGCAAACTTGCATACATATATATAGAATATAAACATACACATATATGACATACATGTGTATGTATAAATCTATATATATATATATATATATATTAGAACCAAACGCGCGCTTCGCGCGCGCTTCCGTTCTAGTCAGCACGGGCTGATCGCCACCACGATCCATATGGGCACGCTGTCACTCTGAAAAGCTCCGTCGTCACTGCGAAGTCGACTTCCTCTGTTCCCGTTTCCATCACTGTTCTGATCCACGCCCGCGTAGGTTTTACCGCGCACGTTCACGATTGCACATTCCATGTTGGACGCCTGCGACGCCGACGGCGCGCGAAAGAAGCGTAGTCGGGCGGGGGGGCGGGACATGGGATGTGACTGGCACTCGGTGATGGGACGGCGTCGAGGATCGTCTGGGGCCTCTGGGCCTCCTGCGGGCTTCTCAGGGAGCTCCCTTTGGCGTCTCGGTCAGAGGAGGAGGAGGAGGAGGAGGAGGAGGAGGAGGAGGAGGAGGGGGAGAGAAGGAGGGGGAGGAGGAGGCGGAGGAGGAGGAGTGTCTCAGGGCCTCTGGGAGCCCCTGGGGGGCCCTTTCGGGGGCCTCCTGGGGCTTCCTGGGAGCGACAGCCCTGGCGGCCCAGTGCCCCCAGGGGAGCGGCGAGGTCCACCTCCTGGCCCCCTCCTCCTCGTGCCCAGGGATATAGATATATACATGTTTATATGTATATATATATATGTATACACACACTTACGTGCATGCATGCATGCATGCATGCATGCATGCATACATACATACATACATGCAGGCATACATACAGACACACATACATACATACATATGGACGTACGTACGTACGTACGTACATACATACATACGTACATTCATACGCATATATGTATCAGAAGGATGGTGCCCGAGCGGTCTTACTCCGTCCCTGCACGCGTTCGTCCTTCTTGGGGTCGCCTCTCCGGCGGCCACGCTGGGAGGCCACTGGGAGGCCACGCTGCGGGGGGCGCGCTGGGAGGCCACGCTTGGAGGCCACGCTGGGAGGCCACGCTGGAAAGCCACGCTGGCACGCTTGGAGGGCCCACCGAAGAGGGGCGGTGTGTCCGTGGCGAATCCGGTTCAAATCCCGCTAGCAGTGAGCGCGCCGTGGCGTCTAAGAGCGCCGCCAAGCACCCTCTCTCTTATCCGCACCTGCGGGGGATTCGGCATTTATATATATATATATATATAATATCCCGTTGCGCTGCCCTCCTGGAGGTCGTATTGGAGCGCTCTGGGGTAGTATGTGGGCCTCCTGGTATGTCTTCAAGCTGTTCGGCCCCACAAGCGACAGAAGGGGGAGCCGAGTAAGGCGCAACACCCGAGGCCCGACTGCACTTTTTGTCTTCACACCCAGGAGCCCTTGTGCCAAGTGCTGCTCTCGGACAGCTTGGCTTAGCAAGCAATGCGAGATGCTTTCCACATGAGCACAACCTGTGAAGGCTATCCGAGGTAACGGGGGCCCGCGATCATCTACCTGGAGCGAACGAAGCCCGAGGGAGCGCACCCACTCACGGGGCACACTACTCAAGAGAGGCCAAGGGAAAACACAGAAACTGCCTCGCCAGACCTGACCATTGAACAACAAGCAGGCTGTAAGGAACTAGCTGCGTGGACCTCGGCACTCGCCGATGAGCGTGCGACTGAGGACTCTCACTCTTGCTCGAAGCAGCTCTCAAGACACTCGGGATACTGCATCTTGCCACATTCGTTGCCCTGACACCAACCGTTGCAGTGACAGCACGTGGCGATGAAACAGGCCGAGCAAAGCAGATTAGATACGGCGCACTTCCAGCAAACATTGTTCAGCCCATACCACCTATCCCTTCCGTGCAAGGTGATGTACAACCTGTGCCGGAAATTCTGCAGCGGCGCTTCATAGTCGTAATCGGCGGGGAAAAAGTTGGTCACCAGGACGCGGAACGTATGCATGTAAAAGTTATATGCCCCCTCCCGGGACACTACCTCACGCAACTGAATCTGCCGCTGCTCCACCTCGTAAGCCTCAACTGTGCGGATGCGGGTCTCGTCGCACTCCTCATTCTCAAACCATTCGATGTCGCGAGGCACCAACGAGAGGCCCATGAAACAAGCCTGCACATCACCAAACACTTGATTCTGAATGCGGTCAAGCACCGCGTTGAAGCTTACCATATCATCCGCTTCACCATCCGTGAGGATCAGCAACAACAGGGTGCTGCTCGGCAGATCCTCTCTGTGATCTTGCAGGGCCCGCTGGATGGCTTGCGTCATGGGAGTGCGGCCACCAGGCTTATCAGCAAAGATCGCATCAACCCTGGACAATGGGACCTTATTGCCGAAATTCGTCATCGGATTCAGCAAGTAGACCCATGGGTCCATGCCCATTACGTTGTAGACCGGTTTCCACTGCCGCAACGCTTCCCGGGCGAAGAACCAGCGTCGATGTGATGGGCTATATGGACTCTGCGGGGGAGCAGGTGAGGCATTGAATCGAGGCTGTCTCATGTTGGCAAAAGTACGGCCCATAAGCAGGTTCGCATTGAAGGCGTCACCCTGCATATCGATCCACGCCTGTGACATGCCAGTGGAGCACGTTTGCCCGAACATGTCTGCTTGCATCGAACCGCTGTTGTCCAGGATAATGCGCACGTCGACGTCATACAACCGCGCGGCTAGCATATCTCGCGCCAGATCTCGCGAGTGCCCTGTGCCCTCCAGCAAGCTCTCCAACTGGAGTGACATGGCCAGCTCCTCGTCGGTGAACCAGCTGTCGTGCAGCATGCGCGGTGGGTAAAACCCGGAGCCGCTGACCATCTGATCCATCAGGCACCTGGGCCTGCGGTGCATGAACCGCTCGCGCTGCTCGCCCCAGCCATACAGAACTGGCCGGCGCACCGCCTCCCAGGACGCATCGTCTGCCGGGCGGAGACCCGCCGGCACCTCCACGGCGTGCGCGGTGGCGTGCTCGTACACGTTCTCGGGGCCCACCTGCCAGGCCGCCTCGTCCAGAGGTGGCGCCGAGGGCTCCAGGTCGCCCGCGGCGGGAGGCATTGTCTGCTGCCCGGGTGCGGCGGCCGGCGCCTGGGGAAAGCAGAAGGCACCGCTACCGCGGCTCCCTGGACCTCTCCCGAAGGGTGCGTTCCGACCAGGCTTTCGACGCGAAGCCAGGCGTGGTGACGAGGGTCTGGCAGGAGGCCCGGAGGGGCGAAAACGACGCATGGGTAAGTGCGGGAGGTCTGTAAAGATGTCCCCCCCCCTTTTGCTTTCACCTGTCAATGAAACTCGTCCTTCCCCTCCTCGCTCTTGCCATCCTCCTCCTCCTCACCATCAGGGGTCCGCATCTCGCCCACGATCACTAGCGGCGGCCGCCGGGGGGGAACCATGGTTTTCCCACAGAGCGGTGGAGGCCCCAATCCGTCAAAAAGCACAAGCAGAATCTATATATATATATATATGTATATATATATGTATACATATATATATATATATGTGAAAAACTAATCCAAGACCCCCGACGTCACGATTTCTTCTTGACGTCGACCCCCAGAGGTCTCGACCCGTTCCCCAGGACCAGTTCGTCATCCAGGCCAGGTGAGGGTCCCCGGAGGCCGAAGACAACAACAAAGAGCTCCCGTCGTTTTGTTTACAAAACGCGCGGGTGTCTGTTGAACAGGGACCGACCGTCCCGGCATTCCTATAGTCATACCACGAAATGTTCTTAGAACCCAAAAATGTTCTAAGAACAAAAACAATGTTCTGAGAACGTTAAAACAAGACAGTCCCAGCCAGAAATGTTCTAAGAACGTTTCGTGGGTGGGAACCAACAAAACGGTTCTTAGAACATTGTTTGGTGGGGCTATAAGTGAGCCGGGACGCTTCGCCACTGCGTGGGTCTGGGTCAGCGAGCCGGGCTATGAGCGACTCACTGCGGTGACCTGCTCCTCCGCTGAGCCTGGGCGGTCGACGCGCCGCCAGACGGGGCCAAGAGTGCAGGGGGGAAGGCTCCTTGGGAAGCTGCCTCTTAGAGGGCGGCGGCCGCACATCGATTGTGAGATCGATCGAGTGAGACCGATCGAGCGAGACCGATAGTGAGATCGATCGTGAGAGCGATCGTGAGACCGATCGGGTGAGACGTTTCGGTTCCTCCCCCCCCCGAACCTCCTTCTCACCCGAAGGGTGGTCGTTTAGGTAGATGCGGCCCACGCCTTCTGAGAAGCAGAGGTGCTCTTAGGAAACCTTCCCGCCCTTCCCCCCTCTTAGCGCCCCTCTGTGCGTGGCCGGACGCTCCTGCGCTGAGCCCGGGTGGCCGACGCGCCGCCACCGGGCAGGAGGACGAGGAGGAGAAGGAGCAGGACGGGGAGGAGGAGGAGGAGGAGGAGGACAAGGAGGAGGAGGAGGATGAGGAGGAGGAGGGTGGGAGGAGCAGGAAGAGGAGAAGGAGGAGCAGGAGGAGGAGGAGGAGGAGGAGGAGAGGAGGAGGAGGAGGAGGCGGAGGAGGAGGAGGAGAAGGATGAGGAGGAGGAGGAGGAGGAGGAGGGGCGAGTGAAGTCCCCGCCGAGAGAAGCAGGGAGGGGGGCAAGACTAAAGACCTCCTGAGATTACCTGCTTCTCCTCCCCAGACCCCCGACGCCATGACTTTGCTCACGGCGTCGACCCCCAGAGGTCTGGACCCCTTCCCGGGGACCCGCTCTTCACCCAGAGCCTGAGGCCCCTGGAGACCGACCGTAGCAAAGACCTCCCGCCGTGACTTTTTCGGCAACGCGCAGAGGGGGGGAGGGGGAGGGGGGGGGAAGACTTTTTTGAAGCACCCCTGCTTCTTAGAAGGCGCGGGCCTTCTCTATAGACGCAAGGCCGAGGCCTTCTAGTGCTTCCAAGAAGCCTTCCCCCCTCCCCCTACCCCCTTTTGCCGTCCGAGGAGGCTTGCAAAACAGGGCTAGGATCGGGATAAATCGCTCCAGAGCGTTCGGGAGCGCTCTCGGAGCGTTCCGGAACGCTCTGGAGCGGCCGCGGCGCCCAATACATCCTCCAAACCCGCCGATTCTCAGAGATTTCGAGTTATCCCGATCCGACTTTGTCCCGATCTTCGCGTCGTTTTAGCTTGCCTGCTCCTCCTCTGCGCCTGGGCGGCCGGCGCGCCGCCACCCCGCAGCAGCGGCTGCGACAGGCCCTCCCAGACGCCGGGCCCTGCTGGAACTGGCTCCGCGCGCGGCCCGGCCGCGGCGGACCTGCCCTTCAGGGCGGCCGCCGCGAGGCCGGCGGCCGCCTCGCGGAGGGCGAAGTTGGTGGAGATGTCCGCCTCGGGGCCGCGGCGACCCCCTCGGGTCATGAAGAGTGGAAGCTCGCTGAGGGACAGCGAACGCGGTCTGTGTTTCTGGGGCGACGGGGGAGAGGGCAATGCTTTTGTAGGGCAGGAGCAAGCGCCCAATCGTGGGCAAGAGCAAGCCTGAAATCGGAGTTTCTCGCGAAGGGCGGCGGTAAGAACTGCTGTTGACCGATCAAGCGCGCTCCCCGAGCGTAGGGGGACCTGGCCGTGGAAACAACGCTGCCCCCCCAGCGACCTTCAAATGAAGAGCCGCGATCCCTGAGATCCCCGCGCTGCAACTCGTTTCGCCGCGGGCGGTGTGCCGCTCCGTGTCGGGCCCCGGGGCCTTCACGGATCGACCCGGCTCGAAGAGTGGCGCAGAAGGATGGGGTCAGGGGATCTGGTCGCAACTTTTTGCGATGTTTTTCCCCACATCCAAAGTGGGGTTCTTGTTTTCTCTGCACACCCCGCGCAGGAACACTCACCCCACCCCCTCTCCTCTTCTGCCTTCGCACACTCACTCACTCACTCATCATCATCACCACTCACTCACACTCACACTCACTCACACTCTCTCATCATCAACATCAGCATCATCACTCGCGTTCTCTCACACGCTCAGCACTCTCTCACACGCTCACGAACATCATCGTCATCATCGGTATCGGCATCATCCTCATTCAAACATCATCATCGCCACCACCACCCACAATCAATCATCATCCTCTTCACCACTCATCTTCACCACCACTCATCATCCTCATCCTCATCATCGTTGAGTAAAGTGTGAGGAAGTCTCAGGCGGGAGCCCCCTCCCTATGGGGCCCGCAGATCATGTTGGTAATCCGAGCGGGTCATCGGAACCCTGTAACTGTCGTCACTTTTGGGCTCCCCAGGCCTGAAAATGGAGGAAGTCTCAGGCGGGAGCCTCGTCTGTGAGTGAATTGGGAGGAAGTCTCAGGCGGGAGCTCCCTCCCTATGGGGCCCGCAGATCATGTTGGTAATCCGAGCGGGTCATCGGAACCCTGTAACTGTCGTCACTTTTGGGCTCCTCAAGCCTGAATATGGAGGAAGTCTCAGGCGGGAGCCTCGTCTGTGAGTGAATTCTGAGGAAGGCTCAGGCGGGAGCCCCCTCCCTATGGGGCCCGCAGATCATGTTGGTAATCCGAGCGGGTCATCGGAACCCTGTAACTGTCGTCACTTTTGGGCTCGTCAAGCCTGAATTTGGAGGAAGTCTCTGGCGGGAGCCTCGTCTTTGAGTGAATTGTGAAGAAGTCTCAGGCGGGAGCCCCCTCCCTATGGGGCCCGCAGATCATGTTGGTAATCCGAGCGGGTCATCGGAACCCTGTAACTGTCGTCACTTTTGGGCTCGTCAAGCCTGAATTTGGAGGAAGTCTCTGGCGGGAGCCTCGTCTTTGAGTGAATTGTGAAGAAGTCTCAGGCGGGAGCCCCCTCCCTATGGGGCCCGCAGATCATGTTGGTAATCCGAGCGGGTCATCGGAACCCTGTAACTGTCGTCACTTTTGGGCTCCTCAAGCCTGAATATGGAGGAAGTCTCAGGCGGGAGCCTCGTCTGTGAGTGAACTGCGAGGAAGTCTCAGGCGGGAGCCCCCTCCCTATGGGGCCCGCAGATCATGTTGGTAATCCGAGCAGGTCATCCAAAACCTGTAACTGTCGTCAATGTTGGGTTCTCGCGCTGCCAGAACGCAGTTCCCAGGCCACACTTTGGATGCAACAAGGAAGTTTTTGGGCTCCTCAGGTCGCCGAGGTGCTGCGACAGGGCGCCGAAGGCGCCGACGACGACGGCCAGGCCGAGGCGCGGGCGCGGAGCTTGCTGATGTTCAGGCCCAGCGAAAGGGAGTTCACATGGCAGAGCTCGGGGGCGCACAGCGTGCGCCGCTCGGGGTTCACCCTGACGCACGCGTCCTACCTGACCTCCACGCTGTCGCAGGGCCAGACGCTGCGCAAGGGCGTCACCATCGACTGCGCGAGAGACGAGGACGCTGGCCGCACGGGCATGTCGGACGAGCAGTGGTGGCTGCACCTCTACGTCATGTTCTCCCGCGCCACGTGCATGCGGAACATGCTGATCCTGCGGCCGCCGCCGCGAGAGTTCCTGGAGTGCGGGCCGCCGGCGTCCCTGCGGAAGGCGCTCCTGGAGTTCGACAAGAGAACGGTTTTGTCCAGGGCGGAGGCGAAGCAGCTCGCGGCAGAGCTGGGCTTCGTGCTGCCTTCCGCCTGAGCGCGGCTGCGCCACGCTCGAAGCCCGCGGGGTTGTCCCAACGGCTTGGTCTTGCGCGCCAACGGCTCGCGGGGTTGTCCCGACAGCCTGGCCCGCGGGGTTGTCCCAACGGCTGCGCGACGTGACCAGTAGAGAACGCGCCTGTGCTGGCCGTGGCGGCGACGGCGCCGAGGAACATCGACATGCGCGCTCATGCAACAGGAAGGGGAGGAGGTGGCGGGGCGCGGAACAAACAGGGGGGCGAGGATGGGGACAACGTAAGGAGTGGAAGGGGGGCCCGCGCCAAGGCGAGAGGAAATATACGCAGAAGAGACAGCCAGGACGCCTCACCAACCACGAGGACGACGGTGATGGTTTTTTCCAGATTCGCCCAGAGGATTCTTATGTGGGGTTCTTCCGTCGGAGTAATTGTTTTGTTCCCCATATCCTGAGATGGGGTTCTTGTTATTACTTGGACGCCTCTTACTGCCTCTCCCTCCTCCTCTTTCCTCCTCCCCTCCTCCTCTTTCCTCATACTCAGACCTACTCATACTCAGACTTACTCATACTCAGACTTACTAATACTCAGACCTACTCATACTCAGACTTACTCACACTCAGACATACTCATACACAGACTTACTCATACACAGACTTACTCACACCCAGACGTACTCATACACAGACTTACTCATACCCAGACTTACTCATACACAGTATTACTCATACTCAGACTTACTCATACCCAGACGTACACATACACAGACATTCTCATACACAGACCTACTCATACCCAGACTTACTCATACACAGACTTACTCATACACAGACTTACTCATACTCAGGCATACTCATACTCAGACCTACTCATACTCAGACTTACTCAACACACATCAAATTTGGAGGATGTCTCAGGCGGGGCGCTGGTTTCAGCACCCCTAAGGGGAGCCGCCAGGGGTGGTTGCACGGGCTCGTTCGCGGCCATTTTGTGGGGATGTCTCAGGCGGTTTGCTTGTTTCTGGGCTCAACATCCTTCGCTTGGAGAGCAGATTGTGAGGATGTCTCAGGCGGGGCGCTGGTTTCAGCACCCCTAAGGGGAGCCGCCAGGGGTGGTTGCACGGGCTCGTTCGCGGCCATTTTGTGGGGATGTCTCAGGCGGTTTGCTTGTTTCTGGGCCCAACATCCTTCGCTTGGAGAGCAGATTGTGAGGATGTCTCAGGCGGGGCGCTGGTTTCAGCACCCCTAAGGGGAGCCGCCAGGGGTGGTTGCACGGGCTCGTTCGCGGCCATTTTGTGGGGATGTCTCAGGTTTGCTTGTTTGCTGCTCAACATCCTTCGCTTGGAGAGCAGATTGTGAGGATGTCTCAGGCGGGGCGCTGGTTTCAGCACCCCTAAGGGGAGCCGCCAGGGGTGGTTGCACGGGCTCGTTCGCGGCCATTTTGTGGGGATGTCTCAGGCGGTTTGCTTGTTTCTGGGCTCAACATCCTTCGCTTGGAGAGCAGATTGTGACGATGTCTCAAGCGGGGCGCTGGTTGCAGCACCCCTATGGGGAGCCGCCAGGGGTGGTTGCACGGGCACGTTCGCGGCCATATTGTGGGGATGTCTCAGGCGGTTCGCTTGTTTCTGGGCTCAACAGGGAGGGAAATGACAGGAACGAGGATGAGGAGGAGGAACAGGAGGAGGAGGAGGAGGCGGGGGATCGTGAGGAAGGGCATGGGGGTGCGGAGGGGGAGGGGGAGCAGGAGGATGAGGAGGAGGAGCAGGAGCAGGAGAAGGGAGGGGGCGGAGGAACAGGAGGAGGAGGAGGAGGAGGGCGCTTTGCTCGAAGGTCCTTGACGCGAGCAGAACGTTTGTTCCGAAGTCCAGGACATATATACATATATATATATACACATATATATATGTGTATTCATAGGGGGTGACTGCGAGGGGGGGCTGTGGTTGTGTGCGGGGATCGTTGGAAATGCGCACCGTGGCACTATCCTCCAACATGACATGCACTTATGGCCTTGTGTGGCTAAACGCTCGTCTTACATATCCCACTGCCAACTATCCTACAACATATGCACATGTGGGAAGCTCCAAAGCTACCACGGGCTGAAAAGGGGAAGGCCTGGCAGCTGAGGAGGGGGGATGAAGAGGAAGAGGCTCGCATTCAACCATACTCAAAGCTCACTCTGACTCATACGCAATCACTCGCATTAGGGGTCACTCGTCTTCGTCGGCCCTGTCGCCCACGTGGACGCGCTATTGTAGTCGACCGCTCATGAACAGACGCTCACCACGGCATGACATAAAACATGAGATGCACATATGGGGAGCTCCACGCAGTGAGTAATTTTGTTTTGCAATGGCGGATCTCAGGGATCGGGGGCTGAAAAAACGCGAGGGCAAGTTGTTGTTTTTTCAGTCTCGGTGGGCCCGAACCGGGCCACGGAACCGCCAGAAAAGGGCTCAGGGAGAGGAGCGGGCCCCGGGGAAGAGGTCGAGAACTGGAGGTCGACGTGGGGAAGCAGTCGTGACGTCGGGGTCTGGGTTGGTGGAGATGTCCGCCTCGGAGCACCGAGCTCGGCAGACGGGGCAACTGGCGAGGCCGGCGTGGTCTCCGGAGCACAGCGCGCGGACGCACGCGGCGCACACCGTGTGGCCGCACGGCAGCACCTTCGGGGTGTGTGGCTCGGCGGCGTAGCTGTGGAAGCAGACGGGGCACTCCATGCGAAGCTGCCGTGTCCTTGCGCAGCCGCTCCTTGCTGGAGAGAGGCGCTAGTCGGGATGCCGTGCTGAGGGCGGTGTGGGCAGAGAGCAGCACAACCCTGCGGGCTTGAACCCTCTGTGCCGAGGGGATACGGGTGGGGGGCAGTCCAAGGAGCTTCTCGAAAGCCCCTCAGGCCCACCGAGGTATGGGTCCATCGGTGGAGGCACACCGACGACTCAAACCCTCGTCGTCGAGACTTTCTCCTGACGTCGACCCCCAAAGTTCCCGACCCATTCCCCGGGACCAGTTCCTCATCTTGGGTAGTCTTTGTTGATGGTCCTGGGGCCTGGCGAGGGCTCACAGAAGCCAGAAATAACGAAAAGCATTCCGTCGCATGATTTTGCCATGACTCGACGGGGGTCCCCTCTGGGTGGCGCGACCCTGGTGTAGGGGTGCGCACCCCCCGAATTACTGTTGTGCCATCGGCTACGCGGGGACGGCGAACGCCCCGACCGCGGAGTTGCCACGGCGCCTGCGCCAGCGAGCCGTCCGAGCGGATCCAGCAGTCGACCGACGAGGATCAGCTGGGGTGTTCCGTGCGCCCACCCCCGAAGCCCCTTTCCCGAAACCGAGCGTCCTCAGAAAGTCGTCGTCGTAGGGCGACGATCTCTACACATATCCACTGCTCCCGGCCAGGCCAATCCTGGGCCCAAGAGCTGTGTATACGCCCTCCTGGCTTGGCCAGGGAGGCATATACACCGCTCCTGGGCCCAGGATGGGCCTGGCCAGGAGCAGTGGATATGCATAGATCTCGTCGCCCTACGTCGCGGGAAACTGGCGTGGGAAAATACCCACCTCCCGGCCGCGCGTACACCGAGGCTGGCAGCGGCCAGGACTGCGCACCGGTGGCCGCCGCGGGGCCGCCCCGGGATGGGGGGAGGGCTCGGAGCTGTGGCGCTGAGACCTCCTCCTCCTCCTCCTCCTCCTCCTCCTCCTCCTCCTCCTCCTCCTCCTGAAAAGGGGGTCCAGCTGAAAGGGGGTGGTGCAATAGATCCGGGGCAAGTGTATTGCAAATGTATTGCGCCAGGGAATCGGACTGCACTGCACTGCAGCAAATGCATGGAGCGAAAAAATCCAGCAATGAATCTGCGCGGCCTGGCCTAAGGAACGATACATAAGGAACGAAGCCCCTTTTTTCCAAGTAAGTCCAAGACGTCCGAAGGAACGGACCCGCGCGTCCAAAATCTGAAAGAACACCAGGGGGCTCGCCGCCAAAAAGGGAGCGGAACGCATGGAAACCAAAGGAACGACCGAGCCCCTCTTGAAAAGTAAGTGTTCCTTAGCCAAGCCGGATCCTGTATATTGCGCCAGAGAATTGAATTGCACTGTATTCCAGCTCATGCATTACACGCGAAAATCCAGCAATGAACCTGCGCACTGGAAAGTATTGCGCACCCCGAACCTACACGCCGTTCATTTCTAATCGAGCTCATTTCTAATTGTGCTCGTTTCGAAATGTTCCCGGCCCCTTGGCGGCCAGGAAGAGGCCCAGGATAGAACAATTAGAGATGAGAGGATCTTAAGGCCCCAAACAGAAATCAAAGAACTCTCAAAGGATTAGAACTGAACAAATGCGCAACGCAACCCCGCAAAATCTATTGCACCACCCCCTCTTCGCTCCCGGACCCCCGACGTAATGTTTTTTCATCACCCGACCCCCAAAGGTCCCGACCCTCTCCCCATGACCGGCTCTGCATCCTGAGTCGTTTTTTGACGCTCCCGAGGCCCCTTCCCACTCCGTACCAACAGAACTCACAATGCGTTGCTCCACCCTCAAAACTTCAACCCCTGCTCGTGTTTTCCCATTGTCTCAGAAGGCGCGCCTCAAAACAGACAGCCCGCAGCGCAGATGGGACTGGGGCTCGCTTCTGGAAGCGAGCAGCGTGGCCAGCCCAGCCGGCGACGATTATAACTCCGTGAAGTCTCCGAAAATCTCCGAGAGCCTCCGAAACCCGTCGAAACCTGTCGAAAATCGCAGCATCGACGAGGACGTCGACGAATACGACGAAGACGTCGACGAAGACGACGACGACGACGACGACGACGACGGCGAAGAAGGCGATGACGGCGGCACCCCCCGGCCAGACGAAAGGAGGGGCTGGCCCTCTACCTCACCCTCCCCATTTTCGCCGCCTCCTCCTCATCCTTTAATGAAAGGATATGTCGACCCCTATCACCCTCCCCTCCTCCGCCGCCTCCTTCCCCTCCTCCTCGCCCTTTGATAAGAGATATGTCGACCCCTATCCCAGGCTTTGGATGGTTTTCGCCTGGATCCGACGCTTTGGACCCAACCCTGGGACTTACCAGGGGGGGCGCCCCTCCTCGATAGGGGTGCGTCCGCAGAGCCCCCTGGGGGTGTATCCCAGGGTTCCCCTCCTTTTCTGAGCGGCTGCACTTTTCGACGACGCGTCGGGGGGGGGGGGAGGAAAACCGCCTGCAATTCTTCCCGCTCGCTACCAGCACCAGTCTTACCATATGGGCCGGCGGAGTGAGCGAATCGATGCAACAAATGAAGGGGCCCAGGGCCACACAGATACATACACAAATCCCATGAGTCCCCATATGTTTCTCAATTTTCTGGATTCTCGTCTTCCCTCCCCCATCCAATATTTTCCTATATTTTCCGGGTGATCGACGATTCATTGTGTCTGTGTGTGGACGTGTGGATGTGTGTATGTGCATCTGTGTGTGAGCGTGCGTGCGTGCGTGTGTGTGTGTGTGTGTGACTGTGTGTATGCGTGTGTGCGTGTGTGCGTGTGTGTGTGTGTGCGTGTGTGTATATGCGTGCGTGTATGCGTGTATGCGTGTGTGCGTGTGTGTGTGTGTGCGTGTGTGTGTGTGTGTATGCGTGCGTGTATGCGTGTGTGCGTGTGCGTGTGTGCGTGTGTGTGTGTGTGGTGTGTGTGTGTGTGTGCGTGTGCGTGTGTGTGTTTGTGTGTGTGTGCGTGTGTGCGTGTGTGTGTGTGTGAGTGTGTGTGTGTGTTCCCCTCCTGGAGAACAGCTGGGTTTGGTGAATCACTCCACGTATAGCCCGTCTTCCCGGCGCCCGGGCACCGACGGAGCGCGCCCGGCGGGGCAGACACCGGCTGCGTGCAGCACTGCAGGGCTCGACCACAAGAGACCTGCCACAAGAAACCCAGCTGAGATCCCACAAGGTCCATTGGTCTTTGGTTTGGGAACGTCACGAGTTCCGTGGCAAAGCCATCGAAATCCAAGAAACCCAGGGCACCCTGGGGTCAAGCAGAGTGTTTCTTGGCATGGGTCCCCACTGTGGATTCCGTACCCTCACCCCCCCGTGCTGTTCTGCTCTGGTGCTCGGAAGGTCCCGTGAAGGTGGGGACCACCACGAGGCTGACCGTGTTACCTGCAGAGCTCCAGAAGTAGTCGCGATCAGAGCGCTCCGAGCAATGCGAGGGCAGCAACAGCAACGCCGGGAGGGAGGAGGCGATCGGCGAGGACACGAAGCAAGGAAGAGACAGAGGAGGAGGAGGAGGCAAGAAAGCAAGCGCGAGAGAGGGTAGCAAGGACAGCCGGACGACGCAGGGAACGAACGGCGGGCACCGGCAGAGCAGAGCAAATTCCGCCCCCCCCTTTCCCATACAGCCGGACCGAAGACAGAAGAACATCCTTCAAGAATACGAGACCCTCCGTCGGCCAAACCGAAGAAGATTCGAGGGCACCCTGCCCCAGTGCATCCAACAAACACGAAGAACATCAGGGCACCCTGCCCGAACCGACTTCGATCTCATACCTCGGTCCGGCCGTAACTCCGAGGTTTTCTTCGCGACATCGACCCCGGGAGGTCTGGACCCTTTCCCCAAGACCTGCTTCTCATCCCGAGCAGCTTTTGACGGTCCGGGGGCCTGGCAAAAGCCCCAAGTGACCGAACTCTGTGAAACAGAAGCCGTCCGTCGTGGCTTGTCGCCGCGCCGTTTGCCCTCGGCGCGCCCAAACGGACAAGACGCCGGCACCACGGCAGACCCACGGCAAACACTGCGCCCCGCCCTACAGCAGGCGACGCGGGTGCCACAGGAAACCCCGGGGCAAACCCAGCGCGCCCGAGGCGGCGCTCGCCCTGGTGGCCGGAGCGCCCTCCCCAGGACGCGAGGCCGCGCGTCGGAGCAAAAACGGCGCGGCGACCTCTCGTCCCTGCGGAGAGTGGGGGTGCCTCGGCCAACCTGACGCCCGCGACGACGACGACGACGACGAGGGAGACGACGACGAGGGAGACGACGACGCGGGGGACGACGACGACGAGGGAGACGACGACGACGACGACGACGAGGGAGACGACGACGACGACGACGGCGACGACGACGACGACGACGACGGCGACGACGACGACGACGACGACGACGGCGACGACGACGACGACGACGACGACGACGACGACCACGGCGACGACGACGGCGGCGGCGGGCGCGGCGGGGAGGGCGGCGGCGTCGCCGGCACCGCGCGGCCTGCGGGCCGCGCCTGCCCTGGGGTGGGGACCGGCGGGTCCTGCGGAGCGGAAGGGGAATCGGGGGCTGCTGAGATAGAGGGGCCCAGAGACACACAAACACATCCGCCCCCCCCGCCCCCCCCCACCCCACACTCGCCGGCCTTCAGAGATCCCCGCCAGGGGCCCGCCGAGATCTGCCAGACATCCCCGCCAGGGTCCGCGGAGGGCCCCCCCCCTCCCCCCCCCTCCCCTGGGCGGCGGCGGAGGCCCCAGACCGGCGGCGAGCCCGGGGGGGGAAGTGCGACGCGTGCGAGGGGCCCAGAGACACATTTTTATTCGGCAAGGAATGATAGTCTCAAGATTACACACAAACGATAATGAATTCAGGAGTTCACGTGCGCACACGGCCAGTGACCTTACCACTAGCGGTGCGAGCGAGGTTGACCGGGAATTGCGGCGGTCAGCGCAACGAGCTGGGCACAGCCCAGAGACACACAAACACATCCGCCGACCCTGTCGGCGTGTGTGAGGGGCTTGGCCGTTTGAGGCGTTGGCTCCGTCAGCCGTCGTCTCCGTCGACCCCTTCCCTTGCACCCCGCCTCCTCAAGCCTGTCAGCGAAAGAAAAATCTAGCAAT